ATAATTTCGACGATGCTCTCAAGGGAGCGGCACTGAAAGAGTACACCAAGTATTGGAACGCAATCCACAAAGTGGACTAGTCTTAGAAAAGGCAATTTGAAACTGTTTTCAAGACGTAGACTCGGATAACAGAACTGAAGGATTCATCTGCGGTTAGAACTCGTTCCACAGGTATTGTTGCAACAATATGTGGTCCAATATTGAAGATGCATTAATAAACTCATAGACTGTTATTCACGGTAGAGAGGACATTGTTTTACGTTGTGTAGCTTTGAACACCTTAATCCGTGTGCTGACCGTACAACGCTTGCCAGGATTTTATTGGGGGAGGTCTGTAAGGAAACTCGTGGCAGCTTCACCACAATTGCGTGCTCCTACCTCTTCTTCGCATATCTCTTGTGCGTCTACAAAGAGTCACTAGACACTCGTCAAGATTCACTGGATACTCCTGCCTTGGCTCCAACGGCTAGTTGCAAGACCATTACAGCGCGTACTAGTACTTCGTAGAATTAGTGTTCATTTTAAACCATTTGGAAGATTCGGTGCGCAACTAAACTCAAAACGAAACAGGACCCTAACAAATGCTCAGTTACCTCAATACCCAAGCTTCTTTTTGTATAAACTAGATATTGTGCGCTCTATTCGAATTCACTTCTTTGAATACACCGAGCAGACAACCGCGTAGAATCGGCAAAGACTTATTAACAACCCCAGTATTCTCTTGTTTTCATATGGACAACGTTACAGTCCAGGTTTCCCAAATATTTTTTCAGTGATCAGGTTTACTCAAATGCAGGTATCTCCAGGTTTATGTCCAGGTTTCAGCTACTGACCGGTATTTTATAAAATAAATTTCCGTCCAAAAATTACGCAGGTTTTGAGAGTCTGGATACCTGGAATAGTCATGTGTGTGCAACTTTGGCAAAAAATCAAAGTGAAGGAGAACTTGATGTGTCGGCTTGACAATCCCAAAGCGGTTGAGCAGGTATCGTTCTTAACAGGCAGGTATTTTCCAGGTATATACCATGTATTTGTTTTTACCTGACAGTCCTTGCTGCAACTACAAACGACGCTTGATCTTCATGATTTCATGTAGAATTGTCCAACGAAGTTTCGTAATGCCAGCGGGAGATACATCAGCTGGTGCCTCACTGGACACGCACTTCCACATGTAAAGGCACACAAGAACGCCACAGCTATCACTATCTTTCTGAACAGGTTCTTCAACGTGTTTTATCTGTTACGTCTCCAGCAATACTGATTCCATCTCAGTCGTAATGGCTTTTAGGCGCTTCACGTTTTTGGTAATATACATACTGTCGTACAGCATCATCGTTTTTGATGTTCCGTCGATCATCAAACAGCCCCAGTGGACTCCATCAAAGTTGACAGGCAACAATACAAACTGCCAAACGGCAATACCCTCACAAACCTCCAAACGTATCTTCTCAGGAAGAATCGCCTCAACATTAACAGGCTTCTTTCTTGACTGTTTTTTTTTTAGCTGAGACATTATCACGGTCGTATTGTTCTTGTAGCGCTGTAGAAAAACCGTGAAGGCGCGAATGGCGTCGTCGTTTCGATCAACCTCTGACGCAATAGATGTCCGACATCGTCAAGTCAAATCCAAAACCTAGTAAAGCTTTGAATGGCCAGGTATTTAGAGTTTCATCAAATGCAATAACCACAGGTGGCCTATCATCAACAATTGCTTTCACATCGTTGATTAGCCAGGTGCACAACGCAACACTGCGACGACACGTGGCCTGCAAAATTCCACAGCCACGTCATGGCATCCAACTGATCAATTGTGTACGTGCCGATTGTATCGATTGCCACCACGTAATTGTCAGAGTCACCGCTTTCTCTATCACTATCAATTTGAATTTCTGCCTGCTCTCCACATAGCGTTTCACGTAGTTGTTCAAGTGCACGATCGACCGTCGGCTCAGGGGGTCTGTAGCGCACATTGTCAGGTACGTAACTTGGGCTCATAGCCCACAATAGTGGTTTCCCAACTGCTATTCCAAGCACCTGAAAGGTCGCTAGGAACGACCCAACCTC